CAATTGCTAGGGCTTCCTATCTAATTGCGAATAATTTTGCTCTGCTGGAGTAAGAGACCTTGAGGCAAACGCTATCGGTCTTTCTTGGCCGTCAATAATGTGCGACAAAACACCAGCTATCCCGGTGGGACTAGCGTCGCACGCAAGCTGTACCGGCAAATCGGGATTATACGGCATCAATACGCGATCGCTGGAAATTTCTCTTTTCAAAGCATCGAAAGACTTTTGGCTTCCGATGTCCATTTAAAATAGCGTTTTGAGCAGTAAATTGCGCAACGGGGTGGTAATTGTAGACGAATTCGGTATGAATCTTGCGTAATATGTTACCATACCCAAAAAAACGGCGAACATCTTCTACACTTTCTGGTTGGGCATTTGTAATATGGCTTGTACTTTTGAAGGTGACTTTTGGACCTTGTTGTGCCGTATTACGTGACCCAAAAACTCCATTTGATTGTCAAAAAATTTGCATTTTGCCATATTAAGGTGCAGATCGTACTTCTGCAACTGGGCTAAACATAATTTTAAGTTTGCTTTGCACTCACATCAAAGTCTCGCCATGTACCACGATGTCGTCAAAATAGGATTCTGTTTTGGGCACTTCCCGTAAAATTTGATCTATAATCCTATTAAATTCCGCCGGGGCAGTTTTAATGCCGAAGGACAGACGATTCATTCGAAAAGTCCCTTTGTGGGTCGAAATGGTTTGAATTTCGCTTGACTTTTGGTCCACTTGCACATGTAATAGGCTTGTATAAATCAAGCCGACAAAAATGTTTAGAGTCCCTGAGACTATTGAAATTGATCTATTTTCCGAATGGGTAATGAGCATTCACAGTCGCTGGTTGACTCCCACCTTGTAGTCAACGCAAAGGCGCACTCCACCGTCAGCTTTAGGGATGACCACCAGTGGTGACCCCCAGTCACTATTGGCAACCTTGGTGATTATGCCAGCCTTCTCCAACTCTTCCAGCTCCTTGTTAACACGCTCGGTTAAGGCGTATGGAATTTGACGCTCTTTGTATAGGTTGGTGTGGCATCTTCACGCAATTGAAGTGAAACTTTATGGCTAGGGATGCAGCCAATCTTTTGTTGAAATACAGCTGAAAATTCGGAAATGTATTCTTGAATGTCGCTCGACTCACCGATAGAATTGGTAACCATGTTGTTCGACTTATGTTCGTCTAGCTCGTTTAGATTAATTCCTAGACGACGTATCCATGTACGACCAATTAACGCCGAACACCCGTCTGGGACAAACGTAGAGATCATCGATGAATGAAACGTTTTTGTATTTTATATTTACTCGGACTTTCCCATCTGGTACGAATTTATCTTGGGTGTATGATCGGAAAACGATGTTTGTGGCGGTTAATTGGTTAGACAATTTTAATTTCCCAAATTCACTCCTAGGCAAAAATGAGTATCCAGAGCCAGAATCTACTTCAAAAGATACCACTCTACCTTCTATGAAGATATTCGCATAGTAACGCTCAGCATTGGCATTTGCGTAATCGTTACGGTACACATCCACGATTTTATAAATACCGTACGAATCATCACGTACTTGATTCGTGGACGCCTCCCTCGTACTGGGTTTACCCCGTCGTCCGGCATTAGGACCATCCGCCAAAAGTGAAGCAATGCAGACTTTTGCTACATGCCCTTGCTTGCACACAAGTTAATTTAAGATTTTTGTTAGAGCGACACTCCTTCGCAAAATGATGTTTTTGCCGCAGCGTAAACATAGACCGGCAATACCTAATTGCTCGTAATTGACTTTACGCTTCTGTTGCCCCTGACGAGATTTGAAATTTTTCGATGGGCTTTTATTAAAAATTTTATTTATATCCGTCGAATTTGAAGAATTTGCCGTTGCTTGGGACAATTCTCTGGCGTCCATCTTCGCAGCCTCTAGAGCCAATGCCTTCCCAACAATTTCATCAATTTTCGCCGTACTGGATTGAAGAAGTTGTTCGCGTACAGTATTGTCACAAAAGGCCTCGAATAAATTGTGCCCTCAAAAACACATCGGCTATGGACGCTCCACATTTGCACGGTGAAACAAATTCGCACGAATTAATATCAGTACGGAGTGCAGCCACAAAATCTGCCACTGATTGCCCTGCATCTGATATTTTGATAAAAATTTGTGTTGTGCCACCAACACATTCTTTTTCGGTGCTAAATGATTTGGCAAAATGGTTAGCAATTCATCGTATTGCAGATCTGCCGCTGCTCTGGGCGCTGCCAACGCCGTCACCATGTTAAAGTACTTCGCACCAATAGAGTTAAGAAGCAACTTTGTACAGTACTCCTTATTAGCACTGACGCCCTTCATTGCAATGTAGTTGTTAAACCTCTCTATATAATTGGTATACATTTCCTTTGCCAGATCAAAATGATCGAAGTTTGGTACCAATGTCGTGTTGATGCTGGTGTTGCTGCTGCCTTGCGCTGCACTTGAAGTAGGAGCACCCACAGTCATCTTCGATATTTGGCTAAACAACGCCTTTTGCATATCCATAAACGCGGCAAATTGAGATGCATCCATTTTGTTATATTTGTGTTGTTGTTAAAAGCTTGCACTTGCTTTAATAGAAAAAAATATGCAGAATATTAGTTTTCCAAAATAATATTCCACTTTTTACGCTCGTCGCCAAACTGTTGTGTCTGTTGAGACTGATGAATAAATAATGCACGATCTTTACGTTATAATGATAATGATACTTTATTATAAATAACTTAATCTACGATAATGCAAAAAGGATCGAATTGAAAATGGTGACCGGTTGCTTTGATTGAAATGTACGAATGAATACAAAACAAAGATGCTGTAGTGACAAGTGCCATATGTTGCCACATCGTCACGAGCAGAAAGTATCACAATACAATTACATGGAGTGTAACAATGACAAGTGGTTACGGATCTCACTTAAGTCACCACAAGAGGTATTAATAGAAATAAAGTCTTTTATTGATTTAGATTCGTCCGCCTTCAAATCGGACGAATACGCCGAGCTTATAGCAAACACTGAACGGAATTCCTCACAGCTTCCTGACTTTAAAGTGATAGACGCTATGTGTGCGTGTATTTCTTTAATATCCTTGAGGTTTTCAATGCAGGCAGTTATATTAAATTAACCAACAATTGTTTCATAGAGTCATATTTTCAAGCTAGTCTCCACGGCAGTTTCCTAATATTTAAAGAAAAAGATCTCGCAGATAGATAGTCCAACTAGCATCTGATCTATCATAACTGGGATGAATATTGCACTATCCCTTACTTGAAAATCTATCTTTTTCAATTATACAAGTTATTGCACTGACTAAAGGTAAATAGAAGTCATTATGCTAAATATTCTATGCTATCCTTATCTAATATTGCACATAACGTGTTTGCTATAGAAAACGCAGCTCAATATTAGCCAGGCTGATGGACATTGACATAACCCTTATGACTATGGATTCCATTTAAGCTATTTTTATGGCACTTATATGTTATTGCACAATGTCACTAACTTTTTGTTCCATTGGAACTGTTTTTTTTTAATTTGGGCGCCATCTGTTATGATCCCTGTTAAGCGGCGCTAGAGGGGACCTTTCGGTTAGCTAGTGGTCTTGGGTCTACGGTTCTCAACCCGTCCTCTTCTCTAGACCATCAGGGCAAACATGAGTTAAACTTACTAGACAAAACAACATACATTTACAAACAATAACCTGCTTTGACAAGGCAGTATTGGTGTTGTACTCCCACATTTTGCCATCCCAATTATGGTTTCCTCCCCGCTTCAAATATTATTGGAACCACCACAGCACACACATACATTCACCTCATAACCTTTTGGATTCCTCCCTGTTTACCAAAAAATTCACACATATTTCTTTTACATAAAAGCTACATTAAACATTTATTAAAACATAGATATCTTAATTCTAATTTTGTATCTTACCTTTGTAGGCTATTATCCATACATGGACTTTCTAACACCATACCTAAGGCAATCAAAAAAGGCTAATGTCATCAATATTAGGTATTCCCGTCGAAGCAATAAAGGGAACCTAAAACGTATTTAGTCGAACAGTTTCTTCTTTACGAAATTCTTACCCTAAGATAGCTCACTTAAGAAAGATTTTAGTTCTGATATTATTACTACGTCAAAGTCTTTTCTAGCGTTCTTCAGGAAAATAAGTTACACTTAAAAAAACCAGTGTCCGGCATTAAAAAATTCTAAAATTAGAAATCAAATACTTATAACTAGAACAAACACACAGACAACACATTCACACACACAAATTAATTTTTTTAGAAACGTTACAGTTCTCAGTATTCTGAGGGTTGGTATAACCGCCACGGAATTTCTCTCTCAGATCTTAGCAACGATCGACGTTATTATAGTGGGTTACCTCTTTTCAATGTTATTCTCTTATCCTTTACCCTTTTTAATGGTGTGATAAAGTGGGTGTTCGGGAGGATTTCGCCACCAGACTAACCAGAATAAATTAATTGTTGGCGGTTTGCTGGTCAACTCGGCACAAAGGCACTTGGTCCACAATTTGGACAGACTTATTTTTAAATTCACCAACGAAACTTGCCAACAATAAAAAAAAAATTTATTTATTTAGGTTTCCGGTTTTTTGCGTTATATACCGGTTCCCATTTTCCTCTATTTTGCCTAATTTTTCACTACATTTTAAAACACATATAAATGGCTTCAGCTACATTTAGTTTACTACATATCAAGGAATATAGCCATTAAAATTCAGATGTACTGAGCGGCCATTTGATCTGCATTGTTTGACTTTTCTGAAAATACAAGAAAAGAAACGTTATAAAAAGGTTCTGCAGTGTGTTCGGAATGTAATTACAACGCTACTACCACAAACTTAAACATTTACTTACACATTGAGATAAAGATGCAGATAAAGAATCTTCATCACTTTTATATTGGTTTCGATATTTGCAGTATTTTCGTTCTTTTCTTTTTCTTTTCTTCCGTTTTTCTTTCCATTTGCATGTACTCACCGACAACGCTTGTTGCCATTCACAAAAGATTATAGATTTGCCAGATCGAGAAAGTTTAGAGTTGCCAAATAAAGTTTCTTGTTATAGGTAACACATACAAAGCAGGTTTGCATCAAAATTAATTTATTGAATTTTGTACTTTTTCCCTCCTATACCTTGATAAGGATGTCGGCAGGATAGTTGGCTTTGTGGGTGCGTCTTATAGAGGGTTAAGCTTAAAAGGAATAAATAAAAAAGAAGAAGAATATTGCCAAACATCTGCAAAAACATCTGTTTTGTTGCAAACCGCATGCAAAAATGTCAAGATAAAGGAGAAGAAAAACAAAATGTCAAGATGAAGGAGAAGAAAAACCAAAAGAAAATAAGTCTGACAATCAAAAATTTCCCCTTTTGATTTTCAATGGTGAAAAAAATTGGTTGTGTGGCTCCCGCTAACCGACAACAGCAAGAACAACAAAAAAACCCGAATTCTTTTTAAATTGTATTTTTGGCGTTTATTAAATTTTCTTTTTGTTTTTAAACTTAAAAAAGAAAAAAATATTAAAGAAAGATTAAATGTAATTAATTAAACAACTAAAGACAATATTGAAACACAAAACTTGGAAACAATCTTAGAATTTACATCAGGAGCCACACCAACACCGTCCAGTCCAACGTGGGTAGCGCAGATTAGCGGCTTTGTTAGTCTGGCAAGCCCCTGGTGTAGAAGTTCCGTTACAGGCGTGTGGACTTGTAGGGGTTCTAAATCTACAGAGTAGATTTAGATCCGAAAGTGTATTATTTGTTGCACAAAGACGAACAACAAAACTATGAATATTAGACAACACAACAAGTATACAGGCGATACTTACGTGTTGCTAACAAGGCACTGATGGTTAAGGCTTCAATAAAACACTTGTTTTAATTACAAGATTCTGACGGTCTGAATTTATGTATTTATTTGTTAAAACAATTCCTTTTGTTGTGGCAAAGTTTAGCTTCTTGCTTCTTCTAGCTTAGCGATCAATCTCTCTTGATGATAGCAGGTAATTGTTGAGGTATCGATTGTTGGCCTATCGGTGAAATGAACCAGGAACCTCAACATGCCGGGCCCCTTGCACTGGTGCAACCTCTTGAAGTGTACTCGGTTTGCTTTTTCATGGTAATCATCTTCAGCAACTTAAATTGTTTGGGCCAAACTTTTTCGATTGAAAAGGGCAAACCCGCCAATTCTCCTTTTGAATTGATCAACTTGTTCTAGAAAGAAATACTCAAAAGCAAGAAATGTGTACCATACCCAATATGGCATTGGAACAATTATTATCTTCATTTTTTATCTTCAAATTCATTTCATAATTTCTTTATGTCACCTCTAGTGACAAATAACCATCCCTAGTGAAACATTTCCACTTTTCTTAATGTTTCTTTTTTTGGAGAGATCAATTTTGAAAATTGACCACCTTTGTAACCACCTCTAGTAACATTATCATCATAATTTCTTTCATTCATATTTGACATCAGCAATATTATTTTGCTTTTTAGAAAGTCATTTTTTCTTCATGCACCTCTAGTGACCCATTCATATGTCGTAACAAATCATCTACTGTAATTTGTTATGAATTATCCGCTTCTAGTGAACAATTTTAGTACAAATCATTATATTCATTTCAAATTTTAGTTGTCACCTCCAGTGACTTTGATTTAAAAAGTACAAAAGATCTTCAGCGGTTGATTTGCAATTACCTAACCACCATTTACTGTGCCTGAGACACAAGATTTGTTTTTAATAAATGTTTCACCTCTGTCAATAGTACTAAGTAATTTCGGACTCGATCAATAAATTTATCATATTTTACAACAAGGTACATTTTCTTAATGTCGCCAATTTTGTGTTTCTGTTAATATTTAATAATGTTATAAATACATTTTCAAGTACCAATTCAGACGAATAGTCTCGTAATCCACATCCCTGATTTGCATTAAATGGATGTATGTATAACTTTAGTGTTGGTGCGCCGCTACTTTTTTATATTTTTATACCCTCCACCATACTATGGAGGGTATATTAACTTTGTCATTCCGTTTGTAACTCCTCGAAATACTCATGTCAGACCCAACAAAGTATATATATTCTTGATCAGCGTAAAATTCTAAGTCGATTTAGCGATGTCCGTCTGTCTGTTGTAATCACGCTATCTTTCGAATGAATTGAGATAGATGGCTAAAATTTTGCACACATGTTTTTTTTTTTCCAGTAGGCAGGTTAAGTTCGTAAATGGGCCATGTAGGTCCACGTTTTCATATAGCCCCCATATAACGGTACCTCCCTATATTCGGTATTTTGATGATTTTAACGACATTATTCACGGGAATTGTTTCAAAATTTGGTATTTGAAGTTCGTTATAGGAACTACAGTCTGTGACAGAAAATTGTCTGTGCGGGTCCAGGTCTTCGTATAGGCCCCGTATATCAGTACCTCCCTATATTCGGTATTTTGATGATTTTAGCGATATTATTCACCGGAATTGTTTCAAAATTGGTATTTGAAGTTCGTAATGAATACTACAGTCTAAGACAGAAAATTGTATGTGCAAGTCCATGTCTTCGTATAGCCCCCTTACAACGGTACCTCCCGATATTCGGTATTTTGATGATTTTAACGACATTATTCACGGGAATTGTTTCAAATTTGGTATTTGAAGTTCGTTATAGGAACTACAGTCTGTGACAGAAAATTTTCTGTGCGGGTCCAGGTCTTCGTATAGGCCCCATATATCAGTACCTCCCTATATTCGGTATTTTCATGATTTTAGCGACATTATTCACCGGAATTGTTTGAAGATTGGTATTTGAAGTTCGTAATGTATACTAAATTCTAAGATAGAAAATTGTCTGTGCAAGTCCATTTCTTCGTATAGCCCCCATATAACGGTACCTCCTGATATTCGGTATTTTGGTGATTTTAACGACATTATTCACGGGAATTGTTTCAAATTTGGTACTTGAAGTTCGTAATGTATACTACACCCTAAGACAGAAAATTGTCTGTGCAGGTCTACGTCTTCGTATAGGCCCCATATATCAGTACCTCCCCATATTCGGTATTTTGACGATTTTAGGTACAATACCCACCGAAATTGTTTGTGGTATGTGGTACATGAAGTTCGTAATGGATGCTACAGCCTGTGACAGAAAACTGTCTATGCTGGTCCAGGTCTTTGCACAGCTCCAATTTAACGGCACCTCCTTATATAAGATATTTTGATGATTTTAGCTACATTATTTACCGTTTATTTCAAGTTTCCAATTTGAATATGGTAATGGCGTATGACAAACAATGCCTATGTATGTCCACGGTATTTTTGAAATTTTAACAGAATTTTTTAAGGATTTTATTTTTTAAAAATTTCCAAATTCGTTGCAAATGGTGGAGGGTATTAAAAGTTCGGCCCGGCCGAACTTAGTGCTTTTTAACTTGTTCTTTCTTCAATATTTCCTTGTTGCATATATTTCTTTTCTTATTAATTATAGGACCATTTATATACCATCCAAAGATGGAATTTTGAGCTATCATACTCCCAAACACATTTGTTCTAGTTCCATTCAATATTATGGATGGTAATATATCACTACCAATTAATATATCAACCTCATTTGATTGTAAGAAAAGAGGATCTGCAAGTTTTAGTTCACGGATTTCATTCGGCGTAGACATTGGAATAAATTCAGTGGAATTGTTTTTCGTTATGTTTTCGATAACTAAAGCGTTTACTTCTACTGTTTTGTTTGCATTTCCACACAAAGATATGTTGCACATTTTATTTGTATACCACTTATCCCGCTAATATGGAAATTAGACTTAGTTGTTGCACTCCCTATTCTTTCTACCGCTTTAGTTGTTATAAATGATCGTTTCGATCCAGTGTCTAATAAAGCTCTAGCTGTAAAAGTTTTCCCACAGTGCTTGATTTTTACAATCGCAGTTGGTAACAAAACATCACCATCACTGATTGATAAATTTGTTTGCGTATTTGAGCTTTGGAAGGTAGAACTTGTAGTACAGGGCATGTCATCTGTCGTGACATGATTTAGTTGAATATTTGCCTCTGAAGCTCTATGTGATATAATTGATGTCGTATGACTTCTTGGTAGAGTGTCTGCGTTTCCAATGTGCAACTTTGTGTGATGTTTTTTCTTACAATATAAACATCGGTGCGCACTGAAACATTCCCTTTTGTTATGTCCACACTTTAAGCATCCCTAGTGAAACATTTCCACTTTTCTTAATGTTTTCTTTTTTGGAGAGATCAATTTTGAAAATTGACCACCTTTGTAACCACCTCTAGTAACATTATCATCATAATTTCTTTCATTCATATTTGACATCAGCAATATTATTTTGCTTTTTAGAAAGTCATTTTTTCTTCATGCACCTCTAGTGACCCATTCATATGTCGTAACAAATCATCTACTGTAATTTGTTATGAATTATCCGCTTCTAGTGAACAATTTTAGTACAAATCATTATATTCATTTCAAATTTTAGTTGTCACCTCCAGTGACTTTGATTTAAAAAGTACAAAGATCTTCAGCGGTTGATTTGCAATTACCTAACCACCATTTACTGTGCCTGAGACACAAGATTTGTTTTAATAAATGTTTCACCTCTGTCAATAGTACTAAGTAATTTCGGACTCGATCAATAAATTTATCATATTTTACAACAAGGTACATTTTCTTAATGTCGCCAATTTTGTGTTTCTGTTAATATTTAATAATGTTATAAATACATTTTCAAGTACCAATTCAGACGAATAGTCTCGTAATCCACATCCCTGATTTGCATTAAATGGATGTATGTATAACTTTAGTGTTGGTGCGCCGCTACTTTTTTATATTTTTATACCCTCCACCATACTATGGAGGGTATATTAACTTTGTCATTCCGTTTGTAACTCCTCGAAATACTCATGTCAGACCCAACAAAGTATATATATTCTTGATCAGCGTAAAATTCTAAGTCGATTTAGCGATGTCCGTCTGTCTGTCCGTCTGTCTGTTGTAATCACGCTATCTTTCGAATGAATTGAGATAGATGGCTAAAATTTTGCACACATGTTTTTTTTTTTCCAGTAGGCAGGTTAAGTTCGTAAATGGGCCATGTAGGTCCACGTTTTCATATAGCCCCCATATAACGGTACCTCCCTATATTCGGTATTTTGATGATTTTAACGACATTATTCACGGGAATTGTTTCAAATTTGGTATTTGAAGTTCGTTATAGGAACTACAGTCTGTGACAGAAAATTGTCTGTGCGGGTCCAGGTCTTCGTATAGGCCCCGTATATCAGTACCTCCCTATATTCGGTATTTTGATGATTTTAGCGATATTATTCACCGGAATTGTTTCAAAATTGGTATTTGAAGTTCGTAATGAATACTACAGTCTAAGACAGAAAATTGTATGTGCAAGTCCATGTCTTCGTATAGCCCCCTTACAACGGTACCCTCCCGATATTCGGTATTTTGATGATTTTAACGACATTATTCACGGGAATTGTTTCAAATTTGGTATTTGAAGTTCGTTATAGGAACTACAGTCTGTGACAGAAAATTTTCTGTGCGGGTCCAGGTCTTCGTATAGGCCCCATATATCAGTACCTCCCTATATTCGGTATTTTCATGATTTTAGCGACATTATTCACCGGAATTGTTTGAAGATTGGTATTTGAAGTTCGTAATGTATACTAAATTCTAAGATAGAAAATTGTCTGTGCAAGTCCATTTCTTCGTATAGCCCCCATATAACGGTACCTCCTGATATTCGGTATTTTGGTGATTTTAACGACATTATTCACGGGAATTGTTTCAAATTTGGTACTTGAAGTTCGTAATGTATACTACACCCTAAGACAGAAAATTGTCTGTGCAGGTCTACGTCTTCGTATAGGCCCCATATATCAGTACCTCCCCATATTCGGTATTTTGACGATTTTAGGTACAATACCCACCGAAATTGTTTGTGGTATGTGGTACATGAAGTTCGTAATGGATGCTACAGCCTGTGACAGAAAACTGTCTATGCTGGTCCAGGTCTTTGCACAGCTCCAATTTAACGGCACCTCCTTATATAAGATATTTTGATGATTTTAGCTACATTATTTACCGTTTATTTCAAGTTTCCAATTTGAATATGGTAATGGCGTATGACAAACAATGCCTATGTATGTCCACGGTATTTTTGAAATTTTAACAGAATTTTTTAAGGATTTTATTTTTTAAAAATTTCCAAATTCGTTGCAAATGGTGGAGGGTATTAAAGTTCGGCCCGGCCGAACTTAGTGCTTTTTAACTTGTTCTTTCTTCAATATTTCCTTGTTGCATATATTTCTTTTCTTATTAATTATAGGACCATTTATATACCATCCAAAGATGGAATTTTGAGCTATCATACTCCCAAACACATTTGTTCTAGTTCCATTCAATATTATGGATGGTAATATATCACTACCAATTAATATATCAACCTCATTTGATTGTAAGAAAAGAGGATCTGCAAGTTTTAGTTCACGGATTTCATTCGGCGTAGACATTGGAATAAATTCAGTGGAATTGTTTTTCGTTATGTTTTCGATAACTAAAGCGTTTACTTCTACTGTTTTGTTTGCATTTCCACACAAAGATATGTTGCACATTTTATTTGTATACCACTTATCCCGCTAATATGGAAATTAGACTTAGTTGTTGCACTCCCTATTCTTTCTACCGCTTTAGTTGTTATAAATGATCGTTTCGATCCAGTGTCTAATAAAGCTCTAGCTGTAAAAGTTTTCCCACAGTGCTTGATTTTTACAATCGCAGTTGGTAACAAAACATCACCATCACTGATTGATAAATTTGTTTGCGTATTTGAGCTTTGGAAGGTAGAACTTGTAGTACAGGGCATGTCATCTGTCGTGACATGATTTAGTTGAATATTTGCCTCTGAAGCTCTATGTGATATAATTGATGTCGTATGACTTCTTGGTAGAGTGTCTGCGTTTCCAATGTGCAACTTTGTGTGATGTTTTTTCTTACAATATAAACATCGGTGCGCACTGAAACATTCCCTTTTGTTATGTCCACACTTTAAGCAGTTATTACATAACCTCTTTTCTCTTGCGAACTCTTTTCTCTGATTAACAGTCATATTATTAAATCTCATACAATTTTTCAAAATATGGTTTTTATAACACATGACACATCTATTTGATTGTGTCGAATGAGCATTTTGATGCGATATATGATCATTGCTAAAGGAAGTTTAAGCTGTTTGACTTCTGAGACCATCTATTTGCTCTAGAACCCGATGTCTGTTCTTAAGAAAATCTCCCATTTGCGACCATTTGGCTAGCTCTGAATGTGATTCGAGCGATTGTTCCATTAGGGTCAGTGTATCAACCGGAAGCTTAGTTGAACATAAGTGTATTAAAATTGGATCCCATTGGTCCACTTTTATACTATGAGCTCTCAATATAGCCAAGCAGTCACTTACTGTCATTTGTATTCTTTTAATATCTTTGCTAGATTCAACCGTTGCTGCAGAAAGATTGAATAATATCTTCAGTTGGTTATCAACTAGTACCCTAACATTTTCGTATCGCACCAATAATGCTTTCCATGCTAACGAAAAATTTTGATCAGATAAAGGGTACCGATCTACAATTCTACCAGCCTCACCCTTTGGTTTGTTACGCAAATGATAGAGTTTCTGCGCAGGTGTGAGTCTGGGATGATTTCCATAAATAGCCGTAAACATATCTCTAAATGTTGGCCATTCTTCATAACTTCCGTAGAAGTCTTGAGTGTCACAAGGTGGCACTTTAATACAAATCTCAGACATATCAAACGTTGTACCCGGAGAATAAATAGCTGAGCTGTGAAACAACGATGGATTTGTAACTTCGCCTCTAGCGGTATTACTTTTGCTCTGCGCCTTTCGATTTTTTAATATTTCCAATATAGTAGCTTTTGTCACTTGGTAATTATCTCTGGCGAAAGCAAACATATCTCTAGGCCTCAATTTGTAATCTTCATCTCCCTCATTAAAATAGACACTTTCAAATTCACTGCGTACATTGTGCCAATCTTCATCCATTGATTCTAATTTTGTTTCTATTAAAGAATCAGACAGCTCGTTCTCTGCTGTGCTTCCTATTTTAATGCAAGTTTGCATTAGGTTTTCGGTCTCGTATTCGAATCTAGCATACATTTAAGAAACCATTTTGTAATATTAATTTAAATTAGTAATTTAGTTTATTTTATTAGTTTTTATTTTTTGATATTTAGTTTTTGATATTTATTGATATTTTTAAAATTATTTTTATTATTTATAAATTTTATTATTTTTGAATATACAAACACTTCAACTATCAATTTATTTATAAATTTAGAAATAAATGAAGTTATATAAAATTTCAAATGTGTTTGTTGCGTATATCCTTCTTTTCTCAATAAACGTTTATTTTTTAAACCTTAAGAGAACTATTAACAATGTTGTTAATTTTGGATATATGTATGTTGTTGATTTATGTGCTTTTTTAATTAAGATTTATTTTTATTTATTTGTTCCTATTAATTTTATTTTTTGTTATATTCGATTGTTTGTTTATTATTGTGGTATTCAATATATGTACTAGCTTTATACGTTACGTTACTCGTCGCAGTAACTGCACAACTCTTTTTCACCACACCAGCTGATCGATAGTCGAACAATGGTAAATGACAGATCGATCAAAGAAGCAATGAAACAGATGACAAAGCTTGTTATATTTGTTGTTCACGAATGTAAGCAAAACAAATGTAACAAAAATGATGCAGCAAAGTTATTATGGTGTTAGTGTATATTAATTTGTGTTAAGCAACAACAAACATACATATAAAAGAGTTTTTCTCTTTAAAATGACTCTGTTGATTATTTGGCAACAGAACAAAAGCGAAGACGACAAATAAAAATTGTAAAAAAGAATTGTTTTATTTTGTAGGGGTTCTAAATCTACAGAGTAGATTTAGATCCGAAAGTATATTATTTGTTGCACAAAGACGAACAACAAAACTATGAATATTAGACAACACAACAAGTATACAGGCGATACTTACGTGTTGCTAACAAGGCACTGGTGGTTAAGGCACTTGTAAAACACTTGTTATGTATTTATTTGTTAAAACAATTCTTTTTGTTGTGGCAAAGTTTAGCTTCTTGCTTCTTCTAGCTTAGCGATCAATCTCTCTTGATGACAGCAGGTAATTGTTGAGGTATCGATTGTTGGCCTATCGGTGTAATAACCCGGAAACTTTACACCTGGTATAATTCCCAAAGACATTGTACTCTTAACTTGGACGGCAGAACGGATGACGACAAATCAGTTAAATTCGGTGAATATTGCATAGAAAGAAAAGAGAAAACGAGTAAAAGTTAGTAGAAGGGAAAACAAGCAGTTAAGTGTCTACTTACTTCATTGGGCACAAGATTCCTCTCGCGGTTGAGCTCAAGTGTTACGAATTTGTACGGCCCCGATCTGCATTGTTTGACCTTTCGTTAATATACAAAAATAAAAAAGAAACGTTATAAAAAGGTTCTACAGTGTGTCCGGAATATAATTACAACGCTACCACCAAAAACTTGAATATTTTACTTACACATTGGGAAGAGCCGCCTCCAGATCAAGCCTAAATAATCTTTATCAGCCGCCAGATATAACCTGAAAATAAAGAGGTTGCCTGGAAAGAAGAGAGAATAAAGAATATTAATGGTTTAATGAAACCAAGAAAACCATTTTTTACAATGTATTTTGTTTTGATCTCTTGTTAATAACTTGTTTTTGATGTGCATCTAATTTTCACTAAGACTCATTTTTTAAATTGATAGCGATGTATTCGGCTTAAAACTCTTTAAAAGGGTGGTAGGAATGAGTTAGAGGGGTAAGTGAAGGGATCGAATATGGGGCACCCTGTGAATAGGGGTGTCATGGCGAGAGGTAATCTCGGTGGGTGGACAGTTTCCCTAACCGGATAGCCGCTAGAGGAAACCTGATTCGAATTAGGAGATACTTGTTTAAATCAAAATGTTAAAGGTGAGTTCGTTGCTTCAAGTAAATCACTTTCGTTGCCTTCATCAATCTGTTCAATATTGCATTTTTCCTTAAACCCCAAAGAACACATTTATAAATAATCTTAATGTTTATTAATATAAAGTATCGGTAAGTACTTAATACTAAAGAACAAACGTTTTTATAAAAACAACAATAAAGGGACCATTTTGCAACAGCAATATACTATGTTATCCCGAACAAATAAGCCAACACTGTTCTATTAATAGACAAGGCATGGTCGACGAAGGGGTTTTTGTTGTAACAGACAAAACCAACTTACATGGTTATGCCACTTCGTTCATGTAAAACGAAAGTATAACAAGTGGAGAAAGATGAAAATGTTTATAAGTGCGATTGCAAGATTTGGAAGGCTTTTCAAAAGAATTTTAGTTTTATTTAATTCTTTGGTTCCTTTTCTATTGAGCTTACGATCTCGTAACTTGGGTAAAAAAATGTTTTTTTTTGTCATAGAAGTTATTTTTAAAATATCTTCTGGGGAGAATATCCCAGATAAAAAACAAGGGAAATGATGATGTTTTTATAAAAACAACAATAAAGGGATTAAGCCTGACCATTTTACAACAACAAAACACTATGGTATCCAAAACAAACAAGCCAACACAGTTCTATTTTTAAAAAAACGTATATTATTTTTCTAATTGTTGAAAAATAGTTTTATCTTCCTCTAAAACTATTTTGTTTTGTACGCAATTCTTGTAAAATTTAAATTAATTACTTCCGACCAAATTACCTATTAAAAAATCTTTTGCAAGTTTAAGTCAATTATAATTAAATTAAATACAACTTTGTGTTATATACATTTTATAAAAGTTATATTTATTAAAAGAAATAACAATTCAGTCATTTATTTTTGTATTTGTTATGGACTTGGACTTGGCACATAGTGAGGATTGCTATTTATAGTCAGATCTTTACATAGCATTGTATTCGTTTCTAATTTCTTTCTATGCTTCCCTTTATTAACGAAAACGAATCTGCTGCGGCGGAACAATGTTTCAAAGAAAGCAAGCGAGAGCACGTAAACCGTTGTGCAGTAATAAATTCCACTGGTCTATTTTATTGAATCAAGATCTTATTCTATAAGCTTTGGAAATTTTGAAATTAGGGAAAATGGATATATCATCATTGGATATAACTTTATTTGGTTTTATCATAGTAAGTAGTTTTATATCTTTACTTGCAATCTATTGAATTTTAAAATATCATATTTATCATCATACTATTTCCAAATGTGTTGCTTAAGTAAGAATTGTATCCACTTATTTGGAATGGGATCATGTGCAGTTTGTTGCACCACTTATCGTACTGTACATTCGTTGAAAGCCGTTCACTACTTCGTATTGCAACATTGAATTGGCGCCTTGCCTGTCGGTTGAGTGTTCGTGCCCAACATTTTAAATATTACAAGATCGTGTGTTATACTATGCTTCCCTTTATTAACGAAAACGAATCTGCTGCGGCGGAACAATGTTTCAAAGAAAGCAAGCGAGAGCACGTAAACCGTTGTGCAGTAATAAATTCCACTGGTCTATTTTATTGAATCAAGATCTTATTCTATAAGCTTTGGAAATTTTGAAATTAGGGAAAATGGATATATCATCATTGGATATAACTTTATTTGGTTTTATCATAGTAAGTAGTTTTATATCTTTACTTGCAATCTATTGAATTTTAAAATATCATATTTATCATCATACTATTTCTAAATGTGTTGCTTAAGTAAGAATTGTATCCACTTATTTGGAATGGGATCATGTGCAGTTTGTTGCACCACTTATCGTACTGTACATTCGTTGAAAGCCGTTCACTACTTCGTATTGCAACATTGAATTGGCGCCTTGCCTGTCGGTTGAGTGTTCGTGCCCAACATTTTAAATATTACAAGATCGTGTGTTATTAGTAATGTAAAACGCATTTCCTCTTTATTATAATATCAATAAAAAATAATAATTTGATTTTTTTCTATTTTTCTCCCTCTTTTATCTGAGTTCAATTTGAGCGCATCAACATTTGATCCTGTCGAGCTACGATTGAAATAAGAGTCAAATAAAAAAAGTACAGTCTTATCGATGAATTTTAGATTGTCTTCTAAGTTCATGTGGGAGAAGTAATCAACATCAACAAAATCATCATCTCCATCATATTCATTTCTATACAAACGCTAGGTGTCGTGCATTTTTATTGCAGTGAGCCTGTGAAAACAAATAAAAAAAATACTACAATAACAAAATGTTCACTTTAAATCGCGTCGCAGAGTTTCTTTTTTCGTTTGTGGTTAACATCGAACAGTGCAAATGAGAAAGAAACTAATTCGAAAGAATAACAACTAAAAAACATTAAGTTTGCCGGGCCGAACTTTCAATACCTTAGGGTAAAGGAAGCATTTTTATATAAAAGTATCTGAATTCAAAATACCAAATATGGATGAGTATAGGATGTGCGCTTTAAGAAAACATGGAACTAAATATTCAATGTTCTGCCAGCGGGCTAGAACCCATTATGAACTGCAAATACCAATTTTTATCAAAATATCGAATATCGGGAGGTACAGTTATATGGCGGTTATACCAATTTCTGTACCATCCTATACACAATACAAATTGTTTAACTCAGAAGGGCTCCGTAATACGCAGAATGCGTCGAGCAGTAGATCGTAGGCTGAAATGTAAAAGATAAATAAAAACACAATGGTTTTTTCTTAATATATATGCAACTATTTATTGCTAGTTTGGTTGGTTGATATTACCTGTGGCTACATATGCCTTTCTATGCACAACGATACGTGCTTTGCAAACGATATTGCGGGTGTTGTCTGTCCGAATGACAGCGAAATACTACCTGATGTTTAAAGGAGGCGGATAAAAAGTGACAATAATTACTATGCAAGGGAATTGGTTTGTCTGTATAACTTTCCAAACACACGAGCGTGTTTATCCATTCTAAAAGAAAGGTGACTAAATCTTTCCACTAAATCTTTCCGATAAGCGTTGCAGGCAAAGAAAGACAAGTATCGGATCCCATTGATCTGTGGGATCGTCGTAAGTCGACATGAAGGAGATACAACGATTAATTCCAAATCGAATCTCTTTCAAACCAGAGATTGTTTCCTTATCTGGAATTGGAAGTCTAAATAACGAAGACAACTGTCGATGTACCAATATACGAGTATTGTCATACTCATCATGTAATGCTTTCTAAGCCAAAGCAAAACCACGAAACTGCGAAACTATTTCCCTTGCATCAACTACAGTTTTTTGCAGCAAGTAATACAGGCGCTGCACATCACTAAAGCGCACATCACTAAATTACTTATAAAAATAGCACTAAACGAATCTTGAAAGGAAGGCCTGGAAGAAAAATTTCCGTTGAAAATATCACTATCAATAGGGGGCATTGCAATATTGTGAACGATATCTCAACCAAATGAAATATTTGCGGCAATCTTTTCCTGCGATTCAGGAACCAAAAGAGATTAAGCCGATTGCTCATGAGTTTTGTCCGCGATTTTAATCGGACTTTTTAATACACAACGATCTTTTATATTTTTTTATTATTGCGGCCATAGTGCTGGAGTAAATGTTTAAAGAAACATTATATTTACTTTCTGCCAAATGCAGATATTCTTTTGTAATATTTTTCGAATTTTCTGAGCTTTGTAATGACTTATAGACCGATTGCCATAGTTTTTCTAACTTGCTCTTCCTTTCACCTAGCATACTAATATCTAAATCGTCATCTTTATTGCACCAAGTTGTGCACCAAATTCTATCAGAGCGTCTGAGTCTCTTAAGAAATTTTGAAGAGGAGCGAAGGCCACAATTATAGCAAGAAACGCCGTAGTAAATTGGGGAAAAATGGAAAAATAAATAAAATAAAAATTTTAATTTTATTTATTCAACTTGTCAAAATGACCGCCTATATTTTGTATTAATTTTTAAAAGATCAAAGACAACAACAAGTAAAAAAGCAGTAAGTTCGGCCAGGCCAAACGAAGTCGTGGACCATTTAGAACGAATTTGGAAATTTTCGAAAAAAATAACATTCGCCAAAAATTCTGCTAACATCTTAAAAATACGTCATATAGCCGTAATATTACGGCTGTACGACGTGCACCTACATGAATAATGACGCTAAAATCACCAAAATACCGAATATTGGGATGTACAGTTATATGGGGGCTATACGAAGACGTGGACCTGCATATAAAATTATCTGCCTTAGGCTGTAGTATTTATAACGAACTTCAAACACCAAGTTTGAAACAATTCCGGTGAATAATGTCGCTAAAATCAAAATACCGAATATAGGGAGGTACCGTTATATGGGGCTATACGAAGACGTGGACCTGCATAAAAAATTTTCTGCCTTAGGCAGAAATTTGAAACAATTCCGGTGAATACTGTCGTTAAAATCATATAAATACAGAATATCAGGAGATGCTTATATATGGGGGCTATACGAAAACCTGGACCTACATGGCCATTTACGAACTTAACCTGTTTACTGGTAAATTTAACATGTGTGCAAAATTTTAGCCTTTTATCTCAATTCGTTCGAAAGATAGCGTGATTACAACAGACCGACGGACAGACAGACATCGCTTAATCGTCTTAGAATTTTACGCTGATAAAGAATTTATATACTTTGTTGGGTGTGACATGAGTATTTCGAGGAGTTACAAACTATATATAACTTATATACAAACTATATATAAATTATATACTTATATATAACTTTAATTTTACACGCAATACCAACTAATATAACAAGCAACGGTGGCCGACCAATGTAGGGTAGCTACTCAATCTAAACGGACGCGACGGAAAGAGGAGCAAACAAAAATATTCTTCCTTTGTTTGTTATGTTCGTTCACTTATCTAACAAAGCACAAACAACAAGTGCTGATCAGAGAACAACGACAAAGCATGCAGTGATGTTGGTGGATGATCAAGCAAATGAATTTGACTGTTGTTACAACGAGAAAAGGAGAATAAATGTAACAACAACAATTTGCTATATTAAAGCGAACAGACCAAACAAAGAGAATAATATTGCGAAATGTGCTTTAGGCAGTAAAGCACACCAAACTATGAACTAGGAACAACAATGCCTGAAGGTGATTTTGTTGGAATAAACGAAACGAAATGATTTGTAGTTTTACATGAAACAAAACAAAATGAAAATTAGCAAACGGGTTTTGCAACAAATTTATTTTCGATTTTTGTTTTGATTGTGATGCTGCCGAATGCAAGCATCTAATTAGAAGCCGACGCTTAACGGGAAACGAAACACAAAAGGGAAAGAGGTGACGTTTAAAACGACGTTTGTACATCAACAAACTCGATTGTTTTGTTGGCGTCGCGGTAATTTATTTACGCGAGCTCGCTTGAATACACTGCACTATACGTACCTTGTAATGCGTGAGTAATGGACTGTTTATTTTGGATTCCAAACAAAAAGCAATATTTAATTCAAATCTAAATTAAACACAATTTG